TTGGACACAGGGCATTAGGGGGCAAATGATGAACCAAGCTCAAGAGGCCCAAATCGATGTTGAAAGCCCAATTATGATCAATGACTCAAAATTATGAAGACCCAGCAAGTCCAACGAAGTCCAAGCTCAGTCAAACTCATCAACTTGACTATGTTATCAAGAGAGCTCAAGAGCCTCACCTGCACCGCCTTGGGAATAGTCAAACCTCACCTCATTCTTTCACCGAGTCTCATGGAGAGCGCTGCAACCACCTCGCACGTTGAGGAGAAGTCGTGAGCTCCACCAGAATAGTTATGTAGTGGCTATTAAGTTGCCCCAATCTGTTAGGGGACGACTATAAATTGTAAGCTCCGCCAACACTTGGAGAGTATAATCATCATTAACACACTCTCACCTGAGCACAATTCTCCTCTCTGGCTCAAGGCTTGTACTCTCTGCTCCCTGTACCCTTGAGCTAATAAAGTATCAGACGACTATGACCATTTAAAAGTGGACATTGGTCACGTTGACCGAACCACCATAAATCTCGTCTCTTCCAACTCTCTTTACTTTTAATTACTGCATTTATTTTCAATCACTTGACAGGTGGTGTGCAAACCCAATTTGTGCATCATCAATTTTTATTTTATTAAATGATTTATAAGTGAAATCTTAATCAAATTAATTTTTTAATTATTTATTCTTTATTTATATATGTCATTTTTTATGAAACTTTTTGATTGATTATATTACTCTTAAAAAATATATGCATTATTATAAGTTTTAACAAAATATTAAAAAAAAACCTTCAAAAACTCCATTAATATAATATTACTCATCTCATTTATAAAGATAATATTATGATTACGTATGTATATTTTATTTTTCATCAAAACCATTTTATTTTTAAGAAAAAAATAATGTATATATAGTTTTATATAATTTTTTAGTTATAGTAAACTTTTTAAACTGTGTTATATCAAATAATAACCAATCATTTTTCTTAAAGTTAGAATAACCAATCTTGAAAATATACAAAATTTTCAAAAATTATATAATGGAGCATGAGCAATGAAAAAATAAGTTTGGTAAAATTGAGATTATATTTAATTTAAGTACACATATACCAAATAATTATTTATTAATATTTTTTAAAAAAATTAGTCACGTGCAACGCACGTGGTGCATTGCTAGTACAAATATATGTTTTATTTACACTTCGAACAAGGACTTCATTCTGACTAGAACACATCCTCAAAACAAAGGTTTTCTCTTATTTGTAAGAAACTCTAAAAAAAAAAGATAGAGTAGGGTGAGCAACTAACAAGGTTTGAACATAATCATAATTTTCAATGATTGAGATTTAAAGCAATATTTAAGCATAAATCAATACCTAGTATGTGTCACACCCTGTTTCCCATAAAATGAGAAACATGAGTTTAAAACCATAATAATTATACTTAGGCTACTCCGGATTTTCTTAAGAAAATATCTATACTAATATAAAATATCAACATATATGAAAAATATTTTTTAGACACTTTTGTCCTCCAAAATTTTGAAAATGCCAAGATCACCATTGAATTTAAATACCAAACATTTGTGACATTAATCATACACATCTCCATTTTTAAACTTTTGGTTTCCTAACCTCCTTTTCTCTACCACATCTCTATATTTACTTCCATCCTTCACCTACCAATTGTTCTCTTCTACCCATAACAAATAAATGACTTTCTTGTATGTGACTTCTGCTATTCCTCTAATGTTATAATTTTGTCTTTTAATGTGCCTTTTCTTCTTTGCCTAAAATAACAAATAAAATCAGATTTAGCAAAATGGTAAGGAACAAAAAGTAGCCGCTTTAGAATGGAATGAGATCCTCACTACGCCTCATGAGCCACGACCCAAGGATTATCTATGTATTGATGTCCCAAATCTCTTGCATGTCATCTCTGTTCATGTATGTAAACCTCATATGATCAGTCATTAGTTTGATGTGTTTTTCTTTGATTTCCTTTATTATACTTTAGTAATCTCGACTTCTTCCTAAAGTGCAAAAGTAATAGTTCGCTTTAATTATATTCTTGGAGTACGATTAGTTTTGTGTTAATGATCAGTTTCACGTGTTGCATGTTTTGATTAATTTCCTTGTTGGAGCTTCTTTGAACCCAGAGTGAATATAAAACTTGTTGGAGGAATCTTTTGTGCTATGGTGGGTTTGACATTTTGAGGGTTTTTCCTTGTAAGTATATTTGTTTGTTAAAATACATGATGGTCATTTACCTATTTATTTTGTCAAAAGAAATGTTGCAGACTTACATATTGTACGCGTTTATTTTTTAATTACTTATTTGGGTTCTATAATAAACCCAAAACCAGTAGCCTTTGCATCTCTTGATCCTTTACATGTTCACCTTCTTGGTTTATTTATTGATTAAGTTATGGTGCTAATGGCTGTTAGACTGGTGCAAGATTGACATTTTCTTCCAGTTCGATTGGACTGAAGTGTCTATCACATTCACCTACTGTTGTTATGTTCTTCCCCTCATTTGCATTCTTTTTTTTTTTTTAAGTGATCATCATTCATCTATAATAACTGATTTTAAGTTTTTTTCGTATTGTTTTGGGTAGAATTTAATACCGAAATCCTCCTGTGTGTTTGCTAATGCTCAATTGCAATGTTATATGTAGGCGTGTTTGTATATATGACGTTCAAGATTCTTTGGGGTTTTTATCCTTCAAAGTTTCACGGCATCAATAGTTTGCCAAAAAATGATGTTTCCATTACAAAAGTTTGGTTTCTTTTCATATTCGTTAGTACATCTTTGCCAATATTTCGACGTGTTTTATACATTTCAAACATATTTGCCAATCACATCTAATTATTAATTCCCACAATTGGGCTTATAATGCTCAATATAATAATTTTTTAATTGATTATTTAATTCAATGGTCACAACTACTTAGCAATTTAGACCTCTTAATTCAATTAAAAAGGTTTGGTTTTTGACATTGTTTTATTGATAATTATCGTTGTAGCCCACTCGGCAGACATGTTAATCCATTACAACTTCTAAGAGTTAAATTGACAAGAGATGTGAAGCTGTTTATGCTTGGAATTGACTTGAGAGCTGGGCAACTTTTATTCATAAATCATCGAGAGACATAAGCATTTGGAGACCATTTGGAAAATTTCTCACTTTCTTGTAATTATCAATTCTTATTGATCGAAGACAAAAGGAACATTCTTAAACATGGGAGGGTTTAGGGTTTAGGTTAGGCAGGAAAGGGGAGAGAAAAAGGCAATGGGTCTCATGGTTTGACATTGCAAGGCCCAAACAAGAAGGGGGTCTTGGGATCCGGAAGTTTGAGGATATCCAAACAGCTTTTCGATGGAATCAGACATGGGGAATCCTTCAGGGCGATTCCCTTTGGGCGAATATGTTTAGAGCAAAATTTCTTAATGGCAAACACATGCTGTGATGCTTGGGAAATGGTAAAGCTCGTATTTTCCGAATGCTGTAGCCTTTCTTCAGTTCGGTACTGGATAACTTCCAAGTTCTGGTGGGCAATGACAGATCTGTAGATTTTTTGTGCTCTAATTGGACTGGTTCTGGTCCATTGCTGCACAAAATTGATGATGTTCCCTCTTTTTTTCCAAGCTTAGCTGAAGCTTGGGACAGAGGAGACTGACAGTGGCAAAATTTGGGTGCTCTGGTTTCAGATCAATTAAAGCATGAAATTCAAAACTCAGGGGTAAGTTTGTGCGATAAGGTTGATTGTTTGATCTAGAAACTATCTGACTCTGGAGACTTCAGCATCAAATCGGCATGGCAGATGGTGAGAACTTCAAATGAACCTAACTCTGTGCCTCTGCGATCTGGAATCAATCGGTCTTCCCTAGTGCAAAATTGCTGGGATGGAAGGTTTTTCATCAGGCTGTGGTTGTGGATTCTAATTTTCAGCGAATTGCTCCTCATCTTTTTGTGCAGTGTGATTTTGCCAAAGCGGTCTGGAGGTTGCTTGCTGCATTCTGCGATTTTCAGGTTTTTGTGGCTGAGTCTCCTATGGTGCGCTTTATGAGGCTGTTACGTATATTTAAAAAGAACTCTGTATCCCACAACTTATTAAGAGGAATCTCATTGGTTATTTTTTGGAGGTTATGGCGGGAGAGATGCAGAAGAGTATATGAAGATAACTTTTTCTCTGCTCATGCTGTGTTTTTGGATATTTGCTCTACTTTGTGTCTACAAGCACATGGTGTTCGTACCAAGGCAAAGGAAGGCATGATGGGTATGGACTTTTTGAGGGCTTTAAAGGTGCTGAGGCACGAGCTAAAACCTAAAGTTATTTGGGTTAACTGAACTCCCCTCCTTCTGGTTTTTTAAAGCTTAATGTGGATGGGGCATCAAAAGGTAATCCGGGAGTTGCTGGGGGTGGTGCTGTGGTTAGGAATGAATGGGGGCACTTAGTGTTAGCTGCCTCCTTTTTCTATAAGATATGCTCTAACATGGAGGCTGAGCTCCGCGCCTTCAAGGATGGTCTTTTATTATTTAGATGGTATGGGCTGTTAGACTATGGCCTTATGATTGAGACTGACTCGGCGGTGTTGGTCTAAATGGTAATGAAAGGGCACATGAGAGCCTGAAAATTTTGGGGGATATGTGAGGAGATCATGGGTTTATTGGAAGGTTTGAATTTCAATTTAACTCACGTTTACAGGGAGGCGAATTCCTTGGCGGACTACCTTGCTAACCTGGCTGTCATGCAGGGTGTATCTTTGGATTTTTCACAAGAGTTGAATATTCCTCCTCACGCCAAGCTTATTATGATGCAAGATCAACGAGGCATAAAAGTCGCAAGAAAAAAATGGAACAATTCTTAATGTTTTGGCTTTGATTAATGGCTCTCTATTCTGCTGCGTGGGTTGCCACATAGATCTCTTGGAACACGCTACAAATGGTTCTTTTTACGGTCATTGGCCTGCTCAGCTGATTCTCTCAGCTGGGGTGTTTCTCATGTCTAAACCTATTTCTACTGTTCACATGTACTACTGGATTGTTGCTGCTGCTGGCTCTTCATTTGGTTCCAGCTGGGTTGCTGCGGTTTCTGCTCTGGTTTTTTATGGCCACTCAGCTGGTTTTATTGATGGTTTGGCTGCTGTTGTGTTGTTGGACTAGTTTGATGAGCTGGGCACTGTTTTTGGGGTGAAGGGGACTGTTCATGCAACTGTTCACGTGAACAATCTAGATGCTGGGGGATCTATTTCTTCAGCTGGTTTCCTCGGTTTTTCATGGTTTCCTTCTCGTTATCAGCTGGCTTTCCAGCTGGATTTCAGTTGCATCGCATGTTATTTTCTGCGCCCTTCAGCGGGCTCTTGTTCTCCTTTCTTTTGGGCATCTTGCAGGTGGTTTTTGGCTCTATTTAGTTGGTCTTTATGCGTCTGTTCAGCTGGTCTTTTTCAGCGCCTGTTCAATTGGTCTTTTTGGATTTTTAGTGGGGTTTTCAGCTGGGGCTTATGTCTTTTTTAGGTCAGCTAGTTTGTAGCTGGTATTAATCATATTCCAGCTGAATTTTCAGCTGGTTTTCAGTTGGGTTCCTGGCATCTCTTGCACTTTTCTGATGGTACATTTTCTGCCTTTAGGGTTTTCTTCGAAGATGGCTCTCCAGAGACCTTTATAGTCTTTCCAGCTGGTTACCATGAAGTTTTTGTGCTTTCAGTTGGTCCTTATTCTTCTCCTTTTTGGGGATGCTAGGATGATGGCCTTTCAGTTTGGTTTCAAAGGGCCTTTTCTTTGTGCTGGGGTTTAGGGTTTAGGAGGGCAGTCATTTGTTTTCTAGTGAAGGAAGTTCTTCCTTCTCTCTAGAATATTCCTTTGATTCCTTACTTTTTCTGGCATATCTACCCACTATTAATGGATCCTGTACAGATTCACAACCCAATTCCACCCAAACCACCTGACATTTCATAGATTTTCACTTCAACCCCCTCAAATTTGGTACTTCCTTCATACCCAGCAAAATTGGTCCACATTAAGGAACCCGATGAAAAAGGGACAAAAGCTCATGCTCTTCTACACAATGACGAACAAAAATCTGGCATGCCCTCTGAGATCTATGGTCTCTCTCTCTCAACCCAAATATTACAAAAATTTTTGCTTCACTTTTTAAGAAACCCTCGATTTCCTCGATTCCATCGACCTCTTCTCTGTCCACGAGCTTTTCACCCCCTTCGACTGTACCCAGTTCCTCGGTCCTTTTGGACCCATCTAAATCGTCTGAGGACTTAACCCCTCCAGTTCCTTCAATGGCTCAAATCAGGCTGGCAAAATGCGTCGTGTTTAACAATGGAGAACCAGGAATATATTGGTCCTCTGAAGAAACTCAAGAGCTCTCAAAGAGGTTCCACCAGACTCCAATAGGAAAATGTGCATATGGAAAACCATCTATCGGTGTTATCAGGGAATTCATTACAACTAGATGGCTCCCAAAAGGAAATCTCACAGTTGGCATTTTGGACCCGAGACACATTCTGATCAGGTTTGAGCTTTATGAAGACTACGTGAAGACATGGATAAAGGATGCTACATATATTGAGGGTTACTTATTCAAAATTTTCAAATGGTTCCCAGAGTTCTTACCGGGTATTGAACCTCCGATTGTCCCAATTTGGATATCTCTCCTAGGTTTGCCAATTCATCTTTTTGACCGCGATAGTCTGAGAGATATCCTTAGTCCAATTGGTCGAATTCTTGTGATTGACAACCCAACCTTACAATTGTCGAGGCCCGAGGTGGCTAGAGTATGTGTTGAGGTAAATCTGTTGGCTGATAATCCACATAGATTCTGGTTGGATTTTGGAGGCTCTAGTGGATGGTGACAAAGGACAATGTATGAAAAAGGGGTAAAATATTTTAGTATTTGTTTAAAGCAAGGGCATGATGATAGTGAATGTAGGAAAACTAAATCTGAGAAGGAAGATAAAGAGGAAGTCAATGTAGCTGGAGGTGATAAAGAAAACAGACAGTCTTCTGCTCCTGAATTGAGAGAATGGGGGGAAACAGAAAAGGAAAAGAGTGGTAGACTGTGAAAGGCAAAGGGAAGACGAAGAATAAAGGGAAACAAAATATGAAGGGGAACATTCTGGCAAAGGAGATGATGGTTTGAAAGAGAATTGTATCCTGTAGCAACAAGAAGAGGTAGTAGAAAGAACAAAAATAATGAAGGAGGTAAGACAAACATAGGGGAAGTTGAACAAATGGTGACCAATGAGGAAACACCCAATGTCTTAAGAAAAGGGAAGGCAGCCAATGATGTTATGGATTCTGTTTTACTAGAAAATATTGTGAACCAGGGGCCAGCTCAGGGGGAAATTTCTAAAGGGACTGCCTTGAGCTTGGAGGAGGAGGTCAATACTGACACTCAGAAATCTGTTGGCAGGGATCAGAATAGCTTAGAGAATAGAGAGTTGTTATGTGATTTAAATAAACAATGTTCATCTATTGGGGATTCCTTTTTTGTGGACTATAACTACTCACCTGTAAGGGATGTGATGATTGTTGTTGATGATGGTAGGGGATTAATTCAAAGAACTGAACCCCCTGACAAAGGTTACTGGTCGGATAAGGGAAGCTCTTTGAGTGTAAACAAATCCAAGCAGACTTTGGGGGAGGATGTCAACGGGTCTATTGAGCCAGATGTGAACTCTCTTGAAGTTTATTCTCAGGAGGTGGAAAATGAAAATAACATGGGTGAGATCAATCTCTCTTCTTCTCAATGATTAGTTGCCTAAATTGGAATATGAGGGGTGCTGGTAAAGCAACTCAAAGGAGGAGGATCAAAAAACTCATCAGAATTTATGATGTTTGTATGGTGTCAATTCAAGAACCTAAGGTAGAGGTGAATAAATTACAAAATTTTGCTCATTTTCTGGGTTTTTCCCATTATGTTTCTAACCCATTAGCTGAAAAAAATATGTGGTTGTTGTGGGATGATAGAGTAACTGTGCAGGTTATGGCTCAACATGAGCAAGCTTTGACAGTTAGTGTTGCCTATTTGGGATCTGATGTGGTTTTTCTTACAATTATATATGCCTGCTGTGACCATATCTTGAGAAGACCACTGTGGCAACATTTACTGTCTTTGTCATGTATTGGAAACTCTACGTGGATGGTGGGAGGAGATTTTAATGCTATAATTAATTCTTCAGAAAGGTTAGGTAGTGCATTTCCATCGAATGTTTCCATGGAGGAATTTGGGGACTTTATCCATGCTGCTGGTCTGCAGGATGTAGGTTTCTCTGGCAGTCAATTTACATGGTGTAATAATTGTCATGGTCGGGCAAGAATGTGGCAGCGAATTGATAGGCTTCTCTTTAATCCTTTTTGGAGTCTGAGGTTTGGTCATACTGAAGTGTTGCATATGGGGAGAGGGGGCTCTGACCATTGTCCTATCCTTCTCAAAATCCAAGATTCTGTGAAACCAAGAATCTCTTACTTTAAATTTCAAGATATGTGGGTTGAAGACCAAAGTTTCCTGCCTTTGGTAGCAGCAAATTGGGGAGGATATTACACTGACAATCCGATTGAGAACTTGTTCTTAAAGTTGAAATATTTGAAATTCCATCTAAAGAAGTGGAACAAAGACATGTTTGGAAATATTTTTGAAAGAATCAAATAAAAGGAAGAGGTACTAAAGTAGGCTGAAATTCTCTTGGAACAGGATAACTTTGACGATAATGTTCAGGCTTGTGACTGTGCTCATAAGGATTTGGATGAAGAGTTGAGATTAGAAGAAATTTACTGGAAGCAAAAAGCAAATGTTAAATGGGCAATGGAAGGCGAAAAGAACACTTATTTTTACCACATACTTGCAAAAGGGAAAGCAACAACGAACATAATTAATAAAATTTAGAATGGAGCAGGAGCATGGGTAAAGTCTGATGAGGAAATTGGGGAGATTGCTATTGATTTCTATGCCAACCTGTATAAATCAGAGCAGCATGAGATACAAGACAACATTTTTTCTGTTATTCCTCCTTTGGTAACCAACGAGATGAATGGTCAGTTGGTAAGGGAGGCCACTATGGAGGAGGTCAAGTCTGTTACTTTCTCAATGTCTGCTCAAAGTGCTCCTGGGGTGGATGGTCTGTCAGGCAGATTTTTCCATGCTGCCTGGGATATTATTAAAGATGACTTGATGAAAGCAGTGCATTTTTTCTTAAAGGGAGGTAAAATGCCTAGATCTGTGAACTCTTTTCTCTTGGTTGTCATTCCAAAGAAGATAAATCCTGCCTCTTTCTCAGACTTTAAACCAATAAGTCTGTGTACTTTCCTATATAAAATCTTTACAAAGCTCCTGATTGTGAGGTTGGCTCCTATGCTGTGACTATTGTGTCCAGTGAACAACATGGTTTTGTGGAAGGAAGAACTGTAGGGGACTGTGTTACTTTAGCTCAATTACTTGTCGAAGATTTAGATAGAAAGGTTGAGGCTGGGAACATGATCCTTAAACTTGATATGATGAAAGCTTACGACAGATTGGAGTGGGATTTCTTATTTAAAGTTTTGACTTCTTTTGGATTTTCTGAGCTGTTTGTGAACATTATCTCCAATTGTCTGGATTCACAGTTTATATCTGTTTGTGTGAATGGGCAGAGAGTGGGATACTTTCCTACTTCAAGGGGCTTGAGGCAGGGAGACCCAATTTCTCCTTGCCTTTTTATTCTAGCAGAAGAGGTCCTTAGTAGAGGACTAAAGAAGTTATATGTTGATGGGTTAGTACAAAGTTATCATTTGGGTAGGGGATCTGTTCTGGTTAGTCATCTGTTATTTGCAGATGATACATTGGTTTTCTTGAGAGGTTTTACTGAGTTTTTTGAAATCCTATGAGTTAAGCTCTGGACAAAGAGTGACCGGCAAAAAGAGTTCCATGTTTTGTTCAAAACAAATTTCTGAAGGTAGAAATCAAAGTTTGTCCTCTTTGGCTGGGATTCCAATTAAAGCCTGCCCCTTTACTTATCTTGGTTGCCCCATCATAAGGGGGAGATCTAGGATTAGGTATTTTGATGAGATCATTGTGAAATTTAGAAGCAGGCTGGATGGTTGGTACTCCAGAGTACTGTCTAATATGGGCAGGGTTTTAATGGTCCAATACATTTTGAGCTCCTTACCTATTCATATTCTTGCTTGCCAGAATCTTCCAAAAGCTGTTCTACACAAGTTGAATTCTATTATGGCTAGTTTCATATGGTCAAATAAGAAAGATATTAAGAAGCGACATTGGGTTTCCTGGGACAATATTACTCTGCCAAAAATGGAGGGAGGCTTGGGGCTGAGGAAATTTAAGGAATTGCAGGAATTATTTAGAATGAAACAAGTATGGAACCTGTTGCAGGGATCCTCATTGTGGGCTCAAGTTTTCTCTAAAAATTTTTTGAAAGGAAGACATGTGCTTAGATGTATGGGGAAAAGTCATTTTAAATGCCTTGAAGTTTTGCGACCATTTTTTGACAAAGTGGTGATGCAATCTAGAGCTTTGGTTAGCAAAGGTGACCAGACTGATTTTTGGTGTGACTTGTGGTTGGGTGATAGACCTTTGTTATAAAGGGTGGGTTACCTTCCCCAGGTCTTTTCAAAAATTGGGGACCTTGTTGTGAATTCTAATTGGCAACTGAAACAAGTTGAACACTTGCTAAGTGATGAGTTGAAAGTGGAAATCTTAAATTCTGGTATGGTTTTCTCAGATAATGCTAATAAACTGGTCTGGCAAAGCTCTATGTCTGGGAATTCACGGTTAAATTTGCTTGGCAGTCGATTAGAAGGCGAGGGGAAAATAATGAAGTTGCCATTACCATTTGGAAGCTGAATACAGCTCCCAACGCACAGTTGGTGGGATAGAAATTGCTGAAACATGCCCTTCCGGTAGATTCTAGAATCAAGTTGTGTGGGGTGCCTTTGGTCAGTCGGTGTTCCATGTGTAGTATGAATGAGGAGTCTGCTGAACATATTTTTGTGAGCTGCCCTTATGTGAAATCCATTTGGGGAAGACTTGCTGCTATAGCTGGGTTCTAGCTTCTTGAGAATGAGCTGCCTTTGGTGCGATTTATGAGGCTTTGTAAAATCTTTAAAAAGAACTCTCTTGGTTGTGGCTTGATGAGAAGCTTGGCACTACTGATCTATTGGCAAATTTGGAAGGAGAGATGCAAAAGGAGGGCAGGTGAAGGAATGGTGAACCCTTATTCAATTTTCCTAAATATTTGTAGCCTTTTGCGTTTGCATGCTAGGAGCATTATGCCCAAGGTGGGAGATGGAGTGAAAGGAAAGGATTTTATTCAGTTGCTGGGTGTGGAGAGGTCTTATGCTGTGCAACTTAAAGCTGTCTGGGTGAGTTGGGAATGCCCAGTTAATAGGACTCTGAAATTGAATGTTGATGGTGCTGCGAAAGAAAACCCAGGTGTGGCTGGTGGAGGTATGGGTCTCAGAAATGATAGGGGTGATGTGGTTCTTGCTGTTAGCTTTTTCTATGGTGTCTGTTATAATATAGCAGCTGAATTTCGTGCTATGTTAGATGGGTTGAATATGATAATAAGATATGGTTTGTCTTCTAACATGATTTGGATCGAGTCTAACTCTTTAGTGGTGATCAATATCATCAAAGGAGATATGGAATGTGCCTGGCACTATTAGGGTATTCTGGAGCAAATAAAGAAAAACCTTAATGGGCTACAATTTCAGCTGAAACATGTTTATAGAGAAGCGAAGTCTGTGGCTGATTCACTTGCCAACAGAGCTGTTCAGGATGGGTTTTTCCTCTAACTTTTCTGATTCTCCGCTACCAGCTGCTGTGAGGATGACTGTTGGGCAAGACCAGTGGGGCTTGCCTTTTCTTCAGACCAAGTCAGTGCTGGTTTTTGATGATTGTGGTTAACTTGGGGTTACTTCTACCTCTTAGCATGGGATGCCCCTTTTGGTTCCAGCTAGGGGCCATAGGCTGTAACGATTTTCTTTGCTGTAATGGTTATGGATCGCGGTTTACTCTCTTCTTTAAGCTATGAACATCTGTGCTTCTGTGGGGGTTTTCTTGTTGGGTGTTTATCGATTTTTCTGATGTTGAGGAGACTTTCCATCTGCTCTTTTGGTCTAGTAGCACTATTCACGTGAACATGCTGCTGCTGCCTTCTTCTGTCAGCTGCCCTTACTGGTTTTCTCTTCGTTTCAGCTTCTTTCTCCTGGCGTGTTATCTGGTCCCTTTCTGTTGCTCATCTCTGTTACTGCCTTTTGGGCTTTATTTGAGCTGGATTTCTAGCCGGTGGATCTGCCTCTTCTTGGTACTTTCAGCGGGAGTGGCAGCTTTGTTTTCCTTGTTCAGTTGGTTTTCTAGCCAATTTTGATGCTTTTGCACCATTCAGTTGGGCCCCTGAGCCTTTGGCTTATGTAATAGTTCTCGCCTTTTCATCTTGAAGGACTATAGCAATCAACGGCTCTTGCGTATTTTTTAAAGCTATGCTTCTTTGCCTCTTGTAATGATGATTTTGGTTTAATGGAATTTCATCTTCTTCTTAAAAAAAAAAAAAGGGTTTAGGGTTTAGGGTTTGGGGTTTGGAGTTTGGGGTATTTAGGGTTTTGGATTTGGGGTTTTGGGTTTGGGGTATAGGGTATAGGGTTTTGGGTTTGGGGGTTTAGGATTTCGGGTTTGAGGTTTGGGGTTTTTAGGATTTTTGGTTTTGGGTTTGGGGTTTGGGGTTTGGGGTTTGGGATTTGGGGTTTGGGGTTTGGGGTTTTAGGGTTTGGGGTATAGGGTATAGGGTTTAGGGTTGAGGGTTTAGGGTTGAGGGTTTTAGGGTTGAGGGTTTTAGGGTTGAGGGTTTAGGGTTGAGGGTTTCGGGTTTTGGGTTTGGGGTATAGGGTTTGGGGTTTAGGGTTTAGGGTTTAGGGTTTAGGGTTTAGGGTTTAGGGTTTAGGGTTTAGGGTTTAGGGTTTAGGGTTTAGGGTTTAGGGTTTAGGGTTTAGGGTTTAGGATGGAGAGGCAGCCCTTTTGTTTCTAGTGAGAGAAGCTCTCACTTCTCTCTACCTTTACTCTTTGCTTTGTCTCTTGCATTTATTTCTGTTGATCTGGTCCTTTATTATGGATTCCACCCAACGATTGACTTTAATTCCACCAAAACCTCCTGATCTCCCTCATATTCCCATCACACTTCCCCCCACTTCTTCTACCCTACCGCCCAAACCGCCTGACATCTCAAAAAATTTTGCTTCCTTATTCAAGCGCCCGTTGATCTCAAATAACCCCATCATCAGCAACTCTGGATCAGTGCCGTTCCAGAGACCGATCGTCGACCCTCTGGGCTGTTGTATTTCCACCCATATGCCTCCCAGTCATCCTCTTCATCACGATCAGTTGAGTGCTCCCTCAATGGCACCGTATCTCCGACCTTCGACTGCGAACACATCTGCGAATTTCCAATTCCCCTTACCAGCATCCAGTATTCAGGTCTCTGACGCCCCATCTACAAGGCCATCTCTTCATACCCAGTTGCCAGAGAAAGGGACCCCGCTTACGGCAAACGCCTCATCTTCCCAGCTAGAACAAGGTATCCCGACTCCTCCTCCTACTAGCATCCCGCCTGGTCCTTTTATCTCAGCATCCTTTTCCAAGCCTGCAAAAAGGGTGGTCTTCAACAACGGGGAACCAGGTATGTACTGGTCCCCAGATGAAACTCAGGAACTCTCTAGGGGCTTTAATTTGACCCTGATAGGAAAGTGTGCCTATGGGAAACCGTCACTTGGAGTGGTGAAGGAGTTTATCAACTCTCGGTGGCTGTTGAAAGGGGAATTTACGGTAGGGGTGCTAGACCCAAGGCATATTCTAATTCGATTCTCCAACTACGAAGATTATGTCAAAGTATGGCTCAAGGACACCACGTATATTGAAGGTTTTTTATTCCGATTCTTTAAATGGTTTCCAGAATTTTACCCTGGAATTGAACCTCCACTCGTCCCTGTTTGGGTCTCATTACCGGGCTTGCCTATCCATCTCTTCAATAGAGACAGCTTGAGGGACATCTTAAGCCCCATTGGTAGAATTTTGGTGATTGATAACGCCACTTTGAATATCTCTAGGCCTGGAATTGCTAGGGCTTGCGTGGAAATGAACCTACTGGGCAGTAATCCTAGGAGATTTTGGCTTGATATGGGAGGCACAAGTGCTAGATGGCAAAAGATCGTTTACGAGAAGGAATTTAAATACTGCGCTACTTGTTTGAAGCAGGGTCATGATGAGTCTCTATGTCGGAGAAAGAAACAGGAAGTGATGACTGTTACTACTGAGCAGAATTCTGATAAAGGTAAAGCCTTGAGCCAGGATGATGGGTGGAAAAATAGGAAAGGTAAAGCTATTGCTGTTGATGCGCAAAAGGAGAAACCCAGAAAGGAATACAGGCAAAAATCAGGGATTAAAGGCCCAGTGGTGGGTAATAGCTATGAAATTTTGAATGAGACCAATGATTTTGTTGGTATAATCAAGGACATGGAAAAGGAGCAGAAGGACCATAACACTCCAGAGGTGGGAAATAGCTTTCAGGCCTTAGATGTGGAGGAAGAAGTAGTGGTCTTGGAGAAAGATGGCACTAATAACCAGCCAATTCAAGTGAACATGGATGCGAGTATTCAGAAGCAGCAAGATAATGTTATGAGAGAAAAACAACAAAGGGAAGATGAGGGGGTCTGTAAAAAGGCCTTGAAAATCTTAACTGATGAAGTTGCTGCCAGGAGACACAGGGGAATGGAAGACTTGGATACCTGCTCAAGGACACAAATTTTGCCCTCTCCTAATGATGGAGAGTACTGCTCAGAGGTACCCCCCTCTAATGCAGAGCAATGTGAGGAAATAATTGATTCCAGTATGACGAAGAATGCTTTTGATATTGGGGCTGGAACTCAGTTTCACCAGAAAAACTTGCGTGATCCTCTGTTTCTCACTCCTTTTCCTGTTATAGAATCTCCGGGCGAGGACTTGAGACTCACTGACTTAGAGATAGTAAGAGAAGATGATTATGAAGGCCTGGAACTGGAGGCTGAGAATGCTGTTGTTCCTGCAAATAAGGGTCTTCCTGAAGAATACTTACCTGTATGTGTGGTTCTAGGTGCCCCTTCCATGGGGTCTTCCTTTTTGGTTGATCGTGATTTTATAAACAGAAAGGGATTCACGGGTTCGCTTGATGATCAAAATGGCCTTTGTAGAGAGAGGAGACCCCCTGATAAAGGATATGCATCTGATCCAGACAGCTCACAGAATCCAATAGGGGATGCGGTTGACACGGACAGCTCCTTCAGAATGTCAGAGAGAGGTACTAGAGGTGCTTCTAGTGGGTATTTTGCCTCTTCCCATTTATGATTAATCTAATTTCATGGAACATGAGGGGAGCAAGGAAAGGATGCAAAAGTAGGAGACTTAAAAAGATTATCAAGATGAATGATGTTTGCTGCGTGGCAGTTCAGGAACCAAAATTATCGATTTCCAAGCTACAAACTTTTGCGAGCACCATAGGGATGAATCATTACCGGTACAACAAACTAGCAGAAAGGAATATCTGGTTGCTTTGGGATGACAGGGTGGAAATACAGGAGTTATACTCGCATGAACAGGTGCTTACGGTCGAATTTACGTTCTTGAACTCTGATAAGTTTTGGATGTCTGTGGTTTACGCAAGCTGTGACCAAGTTAGGCGGAGGCTCTTATGGCAACACCTGTTGGATATTGAAACTCCTTCATGTGCTCCTTGGTTCATTGTAGGAGACTTTAATTCTATTCTGACCTCAGCTGAGCGAAGTGGAGGTGCTGCTCCTTCTGTTTCAGCTATGGAGGATTTTGGCCAATTTCTTGACCAAGGAGGGTTGATGGACTGTGGTTTTTCTGGCAGTAGGTTTACATGGTGTGATAATCGACAGGGACAAGTTAGGATGATCCAAAGATTGGATAGGGCTTTGGTGAATTCTGCGTGGACGCTTCGTTTTGAAAGTACTGAGGTTGTCCATCTTGCTAGGGGCGCCTCTGACCATAGCCCTTTGCTTGTTAAAATTTTGAATGAACCTATTCAGAAAAGAATTTCGTACTTTCGGTTTCAGGATATGTGGTGTGAACATAAGGACTTCCTGCAGTTGGTTGCCATGAACTGGACGGGACAGTTCTCTAATAATCCTGTTGCCAACTTATTCATCAAGCTCAAGTATCTCAAAGCCCACCTCAGAAGATGGAATAAAGATGTTTTTGGGAACGTTTTTGATAAAATAAGAGTCCATGAAAGTAAGATTCAGGAGGAAGAATCCAAATTAGACCAGAAATTTTGTTTAGAGGGGGCAAAGGAGTTAGAAAGATGGAAGGAAGGTTTGGATAACTTGCTCAGAATGGAGGAGATATTCTGGAAGCAAAAAGCGAACATTAAATGGGCCGTTGAAGGGGAAAGAAACACCGCTTTTTATCATGCGATGGCAAAGAGCAAGACAGTAAGAAACAGAGTCAAAAGAATTCAAAATGATGCTGGAGCTTGGGTTCACGGCGAAGAGGGGATAGCGGATGTTGCTATTAGTTTCTTTTCAAATCTGTATACGACTGAGACCCACACTATTCAGGATGAGATTTTTTCTGATATCCCTTCTCTGGTGGGTGATCAAGAGAATGAGAGTTTAGTCACTCCTGCTTCTATGGAGGAAGTCCGTGAGGTGGTTTTCTCTATGGCTGTGGAAAGTGCCCCTGGACCTGATGGAATGTCAGGAAAATTTTTTCAAGCATCATGGGAAATTATCAAAGAGGATGTTCTACTTGCTGTCAACTTTATTTTGGGAGGAGGCACCATCCCCAAATCTGTCAACTCTACTCTCCTAGTCCTTATTCCCAAGAAAGACAGCCCATCAACTTTGGGGACTTTAGACCCATAAGCCTTTGCAACTTTGTTTATAAAATCTTTACTAAGCTCCTCACTACGCGACTCTCTCCTTTACTGCCTGTGTTGATATCGGAAGAGCAGCATGGCTTCGTCAAAGGAAGGTGTATTGGGGATTGTGTTTCACTAGGTCAGCTCATGGTGGAGAATCTGGATAGAAAGGTGGAGGGTGGTAATATGATTGTGAAACTGGATATGATGAAGGCATATGACAGAATAGAATGGGACTTTTTGCTGAAGATGTTGGAAAAGTTTGGTTTTTCGGCATTGTTTGTTAGAATCATATCTAACTGCCTGAAAACCCAATACTTCACCCTATGCTTAAATGGGCAAAGGCATGGCTATTTTGCTAATTCAAGGGGCCTCCGGCAAGGAGACCCGTTATCTCCCTCCCTCTTTATCCTTGCTGAGGAAGCCTTGAGTAGGGGGTTGAGACGCCTCTACCATACCAATCTGGTTACTCATTTCCACACTGGCAGAGGTTCGTTGTTGGTGAGCCACCTTCTTTTTGCGGATGACACCCTTATCTTCCTGAGAGGCAAGAAGAAATCTGTAATGAACTTGATGAAATTTATATGTTTATATGAAGCCTGCTCTGGTCAGAAAGTTAACAAATCGAAAAGTGCATTGTTTTGTTCTTCAAAAATTCCAATAGCTAGAAGGAATGTGCTATCCAGATTGGTGGGTATTCCCTTAAAAACCTGCCCTTTTTCTTATCTTGGCTGCCCAATTATAAGAGGGAGATCGAGGAATTGCTACTTCGAAGAAGTTATTCTCAACTTCAGAAGGAAAATTGAAGGCTGGTATGCCAAACTCTTATCTGGTATGGGCAGGATTGTGATGGTGCAGTCTGTGCTGAATGCTATACCCATCCACATTTTGGCTTGTATGAATATTCCTAAAGGCGTGATTAAGAAATTGAATTCATTAATTTCTACTTTCATTTGGTGCAGTAAACTGGACACTAAAAGGAGACACTGGGTTTCCTTGGTAAAGATTTCTAAACCAAAGGATGAGGGCGGCTTGGGGATCAGGAGCTTTGGGGAGATTCAAGCGGCTTTCAGAGTTAAACAAGTATGGAACATCTTAAATGGTAATTCACTTTGGGCGAAAATGTTCAGAGCTAAATTCTTAAAGGGGAGACACTTGTTAAGATGTGGGGGGCTGAACGGTGCAAAATCTTTTAAAAGTTTGAAACCTTGGTTTAACTTTGTGGTGGAAAATTCCTGGGTTTGCATAGGGAATGGACGAAGCACGGATTTCTGGTGTGATACATGGCTTAATTCTGGCCCTTTACTTCACAATGCTGTTGGGATACCCAACGCATTCCCTTCTGTTGCTGATATGTGGAGGGACAACCAGTGGCATCTGGATGGGGTGTCTTCCGCCCTAGGGGAGCAGTTGAAATCTGATATTTTATCGGCCGGAGTGATTATTAGCAACCAAGAGGATAGAAGAGTTTGGAGGGGTAGCAGTTCTGGCCTTTTTTCTGTCAAAGATGCATGGTGGCAGATCAGGCAGCAGGGTACACAGAATGTTGCTGCTAAATACATATGGAATCAAAGAACCCTCCCAAGTGCACAACTATGTTCTTGGAAAATTCTCAGGGGTGCCTTATCAATTGATTCGCGAATACGTGATTTGGGTGTTGACTTGGTTAGCAGGTGTAGTCTTTGTGATGAAAATGAGGAAACTGTTTCACACCTTTTTATTGACTGCAGGTTTTCAAACTCAATATGGAGGAGATTTGCAGGTAAGATGGGATTTACTCTGATTGAGGGGGAATCCCCCATTACCAGATTCATGCGCCTTAGTAGGATTTTTAAAGATTGCTCGATGAGTCATGCCCTTATTAGAGGAGTTTCTCTGCTTCTATACTGGGCCATCTGGAAAGAACGATGCAGGAGACGTTTTGAGGAGGAGAAACTTAATTCTTACGGTGTATTTCTACAAATTATGAGTGCCCTACGCCTTCAGGCTTTCAACACTAAACCGAGGACGGGTGATGACAGAAAGGGCCTGGCTCTTCTTGTTGATTTACAGATCAATGTTAACCATGTCGTTATCACTAAGTCCTTATGGATCAAATGGAACCCCCCTCCAGTGGGTACCTTGAAGCTCAACGTTGATGGCGCATCAAAGGGCTCCTCTGGCTTGTCAGGTGGCGGCATGGTGGTCAGGAACTCGAAGGGGAATATTGTTGTGGCTGCTGCCTCCTTTTTCGAGGTGGGCTCAAATATGCAGGCTGAATGCAAAGCACTCTTGGAGGGCATTAAGATGTTTTGCGTCACGATCTTACCAACCATCACCTTCTTATAGAATCAGATTCCCAAGTGCTGGTGGGAATGGTTCTGGGAAAGGTCAAGGCCCCTTGGAAATGCAAAAAAAATCATTGATGATATTTGTGGATTGTTACACACATTTATTTTTAAGATAAATCACATTTACAGAGAAGCTAACGGGCTTGCGGACTTCCTGGCCACCTATGCTATCAACGAATCTTCCTCCTTTGAATTTATGGGTTCTGAATTAATACCCAGGGCTGGGAAAAGGAGGCTTATTCATGATCAACTTTCACTGTATACTCTAAGAAGAAAAAAGCTTTTGGTTGATAAATCTTGCAGGCAGACTATCATTGAGGACGTTGAGGATGACCATGGTTAATTGTTGTCTGTGGACTTGTGTTGGGGAATCTTCTACTTGGGTTGGCCCTCAATGGGGTCCTCCTGCGTCTCGCTTGGGTGTTGACAGGGACTGTGGTGAGAGTGCTTCCTCTGATGCACACTCCACGCTCTGCATTTTATTGTGGAAGGAGGAATCTCTCTATTGGCTTTCATTCTACCTGGGGGCTGTTTTATGTCTATATGGGGTTTTTTTTGCTTTATTTTTATTTCCTCATTTGGACCCAGCCGAGGCTTCAATTGGTTTCTCCTTTCTAGTTGAACCCTCTGCTGGGTTTCATTCGGGTGTTACCCCTTGTCTTGTAGGTTTTGAGCCTTCTCAGGCATCCTCTGGGTTGTTGGACACAAGCCTTTTCAGGCCCCCTTTTTTTCCTTTTCGTTTGGTTCTTGTAATTTCTCCTTCATCTATGGCATGTTATTTTATTTAAAAAAAAAAAAAAAAAAAAAAAAAAAAAAGGGTTTAGGGTTTAGGGTTTAGGGTTTAGGGTTTAGGGTTTAGGGTTTAGGGTTTAGGGTTTAGGGTTTAGGGTTTAGGGTTTAGGGTTTAGGGTTTAGGGTTTAGGGTTTAGGGTTTAGGGTTTAGGGTTTAGGGTTTAGGGTTTAGGGTTTTAGGGTTTAGGGTTTTTAGGGTTTAGGGTTTAGGGTTTAGGGTTTAGGGTTTAGGGTTTAGGGTTAGGGTTTAGGGTTTAGGGTTTTAGGGTTTAGGGTTTAGGGTTTAGGGTTTAGGGTTTAGGGTTTAGGGTTTAGGGTTTAGGGTTTAGGGTTTAGGGTTTAGGGTTTAGGGTTTAGGGTTTAGGGTTTAGGGTTTAGGGTTTAGGGTTTAGGGTTTAGGGTTTAGGGTTTAGGGTTTAGGGTTTAGGGTTTAGGGTTTAGGTTTAGGTTTAGGGTTTAGGGTTTAGGGTTTAGGGTTTAGGTTTTAGGGTTAGGGTTAGGGTTTAGGGTTTAGGGTTTAGGGTTTAGGGTTTAGGGTTTAGGGTTTAGGGTTTAGGGTTTAGGGTTTAGGGTTTAGGGTTTAGGGTTTTAGGGTTTAGGGTTTAGGGTTTAGGGTTTAGGGTTTAGGGTTTAGGGTTAGGGTTTAGGGTTTAGGGTTTAGGGTTTAGGGTTTAGGGTTTAGGGTTTAGGGTTTAGGGTTTAGGGTTTAGGGTTTAGGGTTTAGGGTTTAGGTTTAGGGTTTAGGGTTAGGGTTAGGGTTAGGGTTTAGGGTTTAGGGTTTAGGGTTTAGGGTTAGGGTTTAGGGTTTAGGGGTTTAGGGTTAGGGTTTAGGTTAGGGTTAGGGTTTAGGGTTTAGGGTTAGGGTTGGTTTAGGGTTTAGGGTTAGGGTTAGGGTTAGGGTTTTAGGGTTTAGGGTTTAGGGTTTAGGGTTTAGGGTTTAGGGTTTAGGGT